TAATCAGCTCAATCATTTCTTTGCAGGAGAAATAATAATAACAGAATAAGTCCTCTTAATAGGTAAAGATGATAATGGCTGAGGATGAACAAAAATTTCATTAAAAACCCAAAAAACTTTTTTTTTTTGTGAAAGGCCTTTCTAAATAAGAGCTGCAAACATAAAATCTCATTTTCCCTAAATATTTTGTAGACAAAATTTAGAAAAAATTTCTAACTTGAAGCCTACCTGTGAAAAACTTCCATGTAATTCCAATGTGTTTCAAGTACAAAAAGTTACCTTCTGTTCTCTTAAGGTATGAACTGAGAAACGTTAGAATCCAGGAAGAATTGTAGTGTATGTGTCCTTGCAGCAACTGTCATGAGGTAGAGATTTGGATGACACACAAACCAGTATTGCATATGGTGCTTAATCCAAAGAGAGGCAAACCATGGCTGACAGGAATGGCTTTACTTCCCATGTCACCTCTCAGCTCAGCTTGACACTGTGTTATTTGCACCAAGAGTAAGAGATCACACAGAGTGTGTTTAATCAGTTCTCTGTCAAATCTGTAGCTGATTCAGAAGTAGAAAAGCAACTGACTTTGCCCAAGATCAGCAAACAAATCCAACTCACCCTGTGGTCATACAACTCCTAACAGAGCAGAAAACAATGAGTACACTGCTGGGACACAGGAAAGACAGACCAACTGCCAGTTATTCCAGCAGCACTTTTGTCCAGCTCTGATGAAGAGTAAGGAAACCACATCCCTACAAATGACATCTGTGTAAGGTCTCATTACGACAAATGTTACATGGTCGATCTGTTACTCTTGGGATTCTGACTGCACAAAGGAAATGTATTTTAAGTGACTACAGCTTCTCTTTTAAATACATTTGAATGAAGCATCTAATACTAATTTAACTTCTCAGAGGAAAATTTATGCTTTAAGTACCACTATGATAAATGGTGCAAAAATTATTATTTCAGTCTGTTTGTCTTCTAGTTACATAACTCAATGCTTCAGTGTTTTACTCTTCTTTCACATTTAGATGGATATTCAAGTTAAGCTTTATCCTGATTAGCTCATCTTTAATACTGTATTAAAAATTTTCTAACATGTTTTATACATCGAAGCATGACAGATTTGTGCTATCACGAAAACGTAATTTTATTTTTGTTTTCTCCGCTTTGAAAAATGCCATTTCCATGAACTGGAGAATGAGAGCCTGACAAGTGAGAAACGTTCCTTTGTAAACAAGAGACAAAAAGACAATCTACATATCCTATACTGGTATAACTCTTAGTGCAAACATTAAAAACAGCTGAATGTGAGATTCAGTAAAAAATATCAAGTTATAAAAGCGAAGGGTGAAATAGCATTAAGTTATAATACAGGAAAGTTATAAAGTAAGGTAGCACGATGCAGACTAATTTTTGCAGGAAATAAAGACTTATCATGAGGTAGTGAAAGAGTAGGTTTACAAGCACAAAATTACTCTTTTACTTTGTACTTGGGCTACTCACTCCCACCTTACAAGCATTTGCTCCACAAGTTTAGAAGCAACTGCAGCAGGTTTCATCACTTTGCCTCTAGTTTGTTTTTCATTCCACTGCAATGAAAGTCACAACTCAAACTCAAGTCACAACTCAAACAAGCCAAACACCTGACTGTTGCAAACATTCAGATTCTTTAGTTCTTCAGTTTCTTAGTGCAAGGGTATTCCTCGTAAATTCTCTCTCATACCCAAGATAATCTATTTTATGGAAAATTTGAGATTAAAAAAAAAAAACCCAAAAAAACAAACAAAAAGAAATACATTTACTCCAAGAAGAGCTAAAAAAATTTCTCTGTACTGAATGACTAAATGAAAACTTCAGCCAAGTATGTACCCTTTTTGAGTTGTGAACATGTGAAAGCATGAACTGGAACTGGTCATAAAGTTTGGCTATTTCCATTAAAGCCATTGTTTGTCATGGATTTAATTTTCCAGCAGCACATTAAATCATAACTTGCCAACAAATTCTTCTGAAGTGATAGAAAGAAAGAAATCTTATTTCCTTGTAGTATTTTTAATTGTAGAAGACCAAAGTCCTAGTTGATGCAAAGCCCAAATTCACTGAAATGAATATTCTAAACACACAGATAACAGAGTTCTAAATATACAGCAACTCTGTAAGGAGAAAAAAACCCCAGTAACTCACTTGTCAGCTGAGCTTTAGAGAACTTCTCTGTACAGCTGTGATCTTGGACACTGTTCTCCACCTTCTGCCATTCCTGTGCTTGAAAGAGGTGAAGTCTAGCTGATTTTGCCACAGCTACTGCTACGTTCTTGATTCTGACACACAGAACAGCATGGTCACCTTAATATTTAAAAAAACAAAATCAACTATTCTGTCTTGATGCCAGTTACAAGCAAACAGCGTGGCACTGATTTTTCTTGCATGTAGCTGCAATACACCTTAAAATCCTTAATTTTTTACCACTACTTCCTGCTAGAATGATTTATGGTCTTTCAGAAACAATTTTTATGTCTCTCATTAAGAAACCAGTGAATGTACAATTGTCTATGATGGTACTTAAACAAACCTTAACTATAGGATAAGTGTCATTAACCTTCTCTACTACAAACAGCCTTCCCTCCCCACTCTTTTTTAAAACAGACTTCCAGATAATGTTTTTTACTTTCCTCCCTCCCACCCCAAATTTTATTGTTTCAAAGTTAAAGACAGTGCTTCAATAGCCTCAATAACTTGTTCAAAGTCTAGTATTTTACGATCTCTGTGAAATGACTATGAGCACCACAAGTTAGCTCTTAAGTCTAACACCAGAAGAACTTATGTGAATGGACTTTCATGTTATGGATGGATTAGAGCTAAAATACTTAATTATACATGACATATTGATGCAAAGAAAAATCAAACCTCCAAAGTGTTCTCTAATGTGAAGAATCTGTTCTCTAATCTGCAGAATCACAGAATAGCAGAATGGCCTGGGTTGGAAGGGACTTGAAGGACTACTTAGTTTCCAACCCCCCTGCTGGGGGACAGGGACACTAGACCAGGTTGCACAAAGCCCCATCCAGCCTGTCTTTAAAAACTTTCAGGGATGGGGCATCCACAACATCTCTAGGCAACCTGCTCCAGTGCCTCACCATCCTCACTGTAAATATTTTTTCCTAATATCTAATCTAAACCTTTTTTTTTTCAGTCTGAAACCATTCCCCCTTGTCCTGACACTATAGGCTGCATCTTGACACACAGAAATATTTTAGTCCTTTTAGAACTAGCTCATTTGACAAAATTTATCTTGCCTGAGTAATTCCACATTGTTTTCATAATTTCTTTCATATATTGCCATAGACTTCTTTAACCTAGGAGTATCCTAAGTTACAATGTAGAATTTAGTGGAGAAGAAAAGTCAATAAATTTTATATGAACTACAGTTTAGCTAAAATTTTGAAATATTAAAAGAAGATTCTAAAGAAAGCTTCACTAAGACCCAAAATAGTTGTTGGTATTCATGCAGGAAGACAAGTATTTATATGCAAATAAGCAACATCAATTTATACAATTATATCTGAACACCTACAGTGCTCATCTTCAGTTTTGACATCTTTTCTCAGATTTAAACAGTGCAGTTTTTTCCTTCAGATCTATTTAGAGCACTCGTACAGTTAACTTCTAGGACAATGCTAATTAACTGCTTTCAAGTCACTTCATAAGCGATCTCCACCCTATCTATCATTCCTCATTCAGTACTGGAAGGTCATGCTCCAGCTCTGGTTTGCTTATGCCACGTTTTCCTGCTTCCCGTTACATTTTGAAGCACTCTGCAGAACTGTTCTGCCACGAAGCTCAACGGGAAAGGAAAAGAGCCTGAGCTACCGAAATGCTGAGCACCCAGGAAAAGCAGGCTGACCAGCACAGCCTGGCTGGACATGGCACTTGTCATGGCTACACACATCTCTTTCTGTAATTAAAACTTCTCTAGCAAGCACAGCGAGCCACTGCTAGGGCTCTCTTTCATCAGGACAGCAGTCAGGAATTATTACTAAGTAATTACTGACTAACAGTCAGAAATTATTACTAACGAGGAGTTTTTAACACGGGAAAGAAAAGCCATTGGGAAGAACCAGGTGAGAATTTCACATCCTGATGCGCGGTGTCACCAAGCCCACACAGGGACGGGGCACAGCGCCGTTAATGACCGCCGCCATGGGGGGAGTTCCGGAGGGAAGGAGCGATGCGTGTCGCAGCGAGAGCGCCTCCGCTCTCCCGGGAGCGTCCGCAGGGCTGCGGGTGGCGAAGGGAGGCACAGCGCTGCCCCCGAGCCCCGCGGCACGGCACGGCCGCTGCCAGCCGCTGCGCGGGGCCGCCCCGCCGCCTCCGGACACGGCCCGCGGCTGGCCGCGACCCCGCTGCCCGGACAGCGGATGGGACCTGTCGCACGTCCCGGCAGAGGAGGAGAGAGAAGGAGCAAAGGAGGGAAGGAGAGTGCGAGGGAGAGAAGCAGGGAAGGACGGAGAGCTGCAGGGCTGACCCCGCTGCCCGCCCCGCGGCCCCTCCGGCCGCCACCGGTCCTCCCGCGCCCCAACGGCTCCTCACGGCGGCCCCGTCCCCCCCCGGCCCCGTTCCGGGACGGCACGGCCGCTGCTGCCCCGCTCTCCTGCCCTCGGGGCACCCACCGTGGAACTGGAAGCGCGCCACGGGCCGCCACGGCTCCCGGCGGGCGGCGGCGCTGGCGAAGTCGCCCCGCAGCGTCTTGCCCGCGGCGAGGCCCCAGCAGCCGGCGGCGGCGGCGGCACTGAGCAGCCACAGCAGCCGCCACCGCATCCCGGGAGCCCCCGGACACCGCGATCCTCCTTCCCCCGGCCGCGCTGCCCCGCCGGGGCACGTGACTCCTCCCGCCGCGTTGGGCGGGAGCGGCGAGAGAGCCAATGAGGGAGCGCGCCCGCCTCTGGGGGCGTGACAGAGCGGCAGGCCCCGCCCCTGAGGCTACGTGTCCCGTTGCCGGGTCCGGCAGTAAGTTGAGAGACCCGGAGTCGTAAAAGAGATGGCAACCAGTTGCCGCTGAAAGCGGAGGCGAAGCATTGGTCCTTTTCACACGCCGCGCCCGCCCCGCTGCCGGTGGCCTCCGTAGACGGTGACAGCTCCGTTCTTGGGGCCGCGGGGGGGGCGAGGAAGGCGATCTTTCAATGAGCCTCTTGCAGGCGCTGCGACTCTGCCCGTGAATCCCACGGCCCGTGCCGCTCACGCGCAGCCGTGGGGGAAAGGGAGTGAGGGGGCCGGTGCCGTAAAGCGCGGACGATGTCGGGGCGGGCGGCGCCGCCGCGGTTCGAGAAGCGGGTCCTGGTGACGGGCGGCGCCGGCTTCATGTGAGTGAGCCCCGCGGGGCCGCGGCGGGCCGCCGGCCTCCTGCCCGGGGGCGCGGGTGAGACGTGGTGGGCGAGGGTCCCGCTGTGCCGCCGCCCTTTTGTCCATCCCGGGCCGGTTCCTCGGCGCCGCTGGCTCGGGCCGCGCCGGTGACTGGCCCTTGCCTGGGTTCTGAGGCGGTGAGTGCTGGGGAGCGAGCTGGGAGCCTGCCCCGCCGTCCTTCGCCTGCGGCCGGCGAGGAGGTGAAGGAGAGACCGCCCGGCGCTGGCAGTCGGTGCTCGGCCTCAGCCGGGACGGGGCTGCCCAGAGCGGGGCAGCGGAGCTGGGAAGGGCCTGGAGCACAAACATTGTGAGGGGCGGCTGAGGGAGCTGGGATTGTTTTGCCTGGAGCCTCAGGCAAAACAACCTTATCGCTCTCTCCGACTCCCTGAAAGCCAGGTGGGGTTCAGTGTCATTTCCCAGGCAGCAAATGACAGGACGAGGGGACACAATCTAAGCTGCGGAGGTTTAGGGTGGACGCTAGAAAGAAATTATTCATATAAAAGATGATTAGATACTGGAATGGGCTGCCCAGGGAGGTCAGGAGTTACTGTCCCTGCAGGTGGTCAGGAAACGACTGGACATGGCGCTTAGTGCCATGGTCTGGTTAACAAGGGGTTAACCCTTGTGTTTGGTCGTTTGGACTCGATGATCTCAGGTCTTTTTCCAGCCTAATGGATTCTTTGGGTTGAAGGTGACAGGGCTTCGAGCCAGCTGCAATTTCCCGTATCAACCCCCAGTACTGTGGGCTCAGTTTGAGTGAGAGCAGGGTCTGGCCCGTCTTAAGCTTGACCCCCTCAGTGTGCAGAAGCTGTGAGAGGGTTAAATTTCTGTGTGTGAATAACCCTGAACTAACCTGTGCTCTCAGAATAAGCTTCGTGTACACAAGGGGCCGTGCCACCTGGTTGTGTGGTTGTCATTTCTTACACCTAGCAGTAATGTCGTGAGTGATGGCAGTCACTGTCGTGGGTTAGGAGTGTTGACTGTTTGGTTCTCCCTGATATCTAATATGTAAACTTTAGAGTGCAAAAAGTTTTTTACAATGACAATTCAATAAAGCCTATAACAGTTTTTTTTTAAATGTGATTGTGGGAAGTGCTGATTTCTCTCATTATAGGATGTACTTTTGTTCTGTTTTTTAGTTTCTTAGCCATATGCACTTACACATAGAAAATATTAGGATAATGTATAGAATATATATTAATGTTGATGTGTTAAAATATCTTTGAATTTGTCTTTTATCTGTCTTGAATATATCCCTTTCTTCCCCCAAAACATTGGATATTGCTGAATTTATTTGGAATTTGTCATCTCTTTGTTACCTTCAAGTCCAGTATATAATTGTAAAATATATTTTTCTTCTATCCTGCAGTGCTTCACATGTAGTCGTCTCTCTTGTGAAAAAGTATCCAAACTATCTGATTATAAATCTGGATAAGGTAATACCTTATTTTCTTTCTTGATATGGACAACTGTTTTAAGTGATTTATAATGCAATCTATAATATGTTGAAATTTATATGGCTTATTGTTAGTTGCTAATTTTTGTTTGATTTTCCATTTGTTCTTGTGCAAAAAAAAAAAAAAAAGGTCAGCTGGTGTTCAGAAAAAGAACAAAATTTTCAAGCTCTAAACATCTGTTTAAGAATTTTTGCAGTTAGGGTATCTTTTGGAGATTTGTCCTTTTAAAGCTTCACATCTGCTTGTGAAGTAGATTTTTTTAAAAATAGTTTTTACTGTATTCTCAGACTTTGCAGTGGTTAGGTTGGGTTTGAGTTAGCCTTTTTGCTTCCATGAAGCCCACTTACTGATGTTGTGTGGTATTTCTCTTTAGCTCGACTACTGTGCAAGCTTGAAGAATCTTGAAACTGTCTCTGGGAATGAAAACTACAAGTTTATCCAGGTGATAGAGCCTTCTATTCCACAAAATGTGACTTTTTACAGATTATTGTAAATACACAGTTTTGTCTTCAGACAGGGGACGGATTTTGATTTATTGTTTAGATCAATATTTGGACTTGCTGGGCTTGCATGCTGAGGTTCCTCCTGTCTACAAAAGGCAGTGCTGATGCTCACCCCTCTGTCTTGGGGTCTGCCCAAGTTTGCAGGACATCTGAGAAATGCATATAGCTCAGTTTGCTGGAACAGCACCTTTCTCAGAGGCAGTAGATGTAAACTTGCCTTTTTTCTTAGATTCAGGTGAGGCTGGAAGCTGGATTTGCCTTAGCCTGTTGGTGATCCCCATGGCTGTTTATGTTTTTGTGAACAACCTCTTTATTTCAGTAAGGGATTATATCTGAACTTTTGGGATAAAAGTTGCATGAGAGGAAAGGGACAGTCTGTATGTAAACGTGCACGTGCCTGCAGTTGCAGCCTGACCAAAGTGGCTTTTTGGTTATTTTCCTAAGATCTTTGATTATTTCCAGTGTGCAATATGAAATGTACTAATGCCCTATAAAAGCCTTGTTACCTGAGGAGATATTAACATTTAATTGCTGGGGAGAACTTGGAGTTCTACAAGATATCCTTTAAACAGGCAGATCCCTATGTGAAGCAGAGGAACAGTAACTAGGACTGATGTGGCTATTCTGATTTTGAGCAAGGGTAGGAATCTCTTGTCACAAAACTTACATCAGTATAAATAATTCCAGCTTTTCACTGTGGTTGTTTTTATTTTTTTTTTTTTTTTTTTTTTTTTTTTTTTTTTTTGTGGTTTGGGTTTGTTTCTGTTTTTGGTTTTTAGGGACAGTTGATCACAGCTTAACATCCAGCTGGTATGCAGCCAAGCAGTTTACACTGACAGGAAAAAATGTGCTGGAAAAGATAATTTCTAATGTGCAACCCTTGTAATTAGAACTGTAACATTGGTCCTGACCATAGGAGACAGTAGGAAGGATATATTCTCTAGTGGTACTGTAGAAAGGAAGTCTGTTTTGGAAAGTAGAACAGTAAGTTTAGAAAATTTTACTCAGGGGCTGTATGAAAGATACATTTCAATCACAATTTCTGTTGCTGTTCAGCATAGATGTACTAAGCTTGAATTTCAGTTAAAAAAAATCAGTAGCTAGCCATTTAGTTCAAAATAATGTCTCTTTTAAAAAAAATATGTCAGTTAAAAAATAAATCACCGGAATAAACAATAAGGAGCAAAGCCCTCGGAAGACGTAATCTAATCCCCCTTAGTGGGAATGTGCTTCTCCTTCTGCAGTGCCACTAGATGTCCCTACCAGCTTGCCAGACTGGGAACTCTTACTTGCTCTGGGAACTTGGCATTTCAGCCTCAATGTTGGAGCGCCATGCTGTACTTTTGTTGTGTGTATTTTTGGACACATTGCTATTTCTAATGTTAATAGTAATATAAATTCTGAAATAAGTTTCATTTAGGATTTTTTAAAAAATGGGTGACATTTTTTATGTATGGTCTTATTTTAGACATGGCATTAATAAGTGGCCCAGAACTCAGTTGATGGTGCTCTTTGTATCCTGTGTTCCCTTTGTAATGGTTTCTTATGTGACACTTGGTGTAAAGGGAAGCTATTTTCTATCAAAAATAATTTGCTTTTTTTTTTTTCCTTTCTTGTTTAGGGAGATATTTGTGAACCTGATTTTATAAAGCAGCTCTTCGAAACTGAGAAAATAGATATAGTCCTTCATTTTGCAGCCCAAACACATGTAGGTGAGCATTGCTGCATGTTTTGGTATTGTTTTCCATGGTATTGTTTTCACCTGCTTGAAATATATGCCAGTATACCTTTTGTCTTTTCCCTTCATATAAACCAAGGATCCAATTTGTCTCTACAAATCACATGACTGATTGTCTGGTGGCCTTTTTAACTCAGAGGGTTTCACAGCCTTGATTTAAAGAGTTCTTCATCTGACTGTTGTCTTGTTTTCATTGCATATAAATGGTAATGTACCTTTTTGTCTGCATTACATTTTTAAATTCTGTCTAGACTGACATGCAGCCGACAGTGTACTGAGGGAGTCATAAAGACAGTGGAGAGGGGCTCTGTACATAGTCTGAAGTTTTTACTTAATTGGCTGCAATGTCACATGTAAAAACAGTGTGAAAGCTGAAGGATTAGGCATAGGTCCCACTGGAATCTTGTCTTCATGCTTAAAAGAGAGAATGAATTAAAAAGTGCCTATTTCAGATGGCTGCTTTTCAGTATCACTGTTAGTAAGAAAAATCCCCACCATACTCCATCCATCATAAGAAGAAATCCTCAAAGAATTCTCCAGGAAAATACTTACTGGAATTGTCAGATTTGATAGGCAAAGTCATTAGGTCAGGGGAACAGTTGTAAGAATGAAAACAGCTGCTGATGAGTTATTAGTCATGCGTCCATATTACTGCATCTTGCAACTGTCTTTGAATGACACTTTTCTTACTTGTCGTAGGTTGAGGTACTTAGCCAATGCTATTTTAGATTAGAAAAATCCATAACCAGCAAGCTTTTGCTCATGATTCCAGCCCCTTGTTGAGAACAAGGATTTTTGTCTTTGTGTAAGTGTAGAAGGTGCCTTCATTTAACAAGGACCTTGCTGTCTGACAGGTCTGTACTGCAGCCTTCAAGTGGAACCTACAGCCCTGTGTTGCCTAAATTTAATCAGAATTGTCTGCATTTTTTGATGTAGATCTTTCATTTTGGCACGCCCTGGAATTCACCTATGTGAATGTTTATGGCACCAATGTGCTGGTTGCTGCTGCACATGAAGCCAATGTGGAGAAGTTTGTCTATGTTAGTACAGATGAAGTATATGGAGGTAGCACTGATGAGGTGAGTCTGAAAATGCATGAGGATTTTTCTAGTTTATCTGCTTTTAATAGTGAAAACAAAGTCGAGTCTAACTTTCCTTGGCCTCTGTAAATGTTTGACTTTAAGTAAGCACTGGTAGCTTCTAGAAAGCTGAGTATCAAAATTGTCATTTTTTTTTTCATAGCTTGTTTTATATTGAATGTTTATTGTCTAAAGCAGTGAGATTTGGGTCATTAATGATGTCACTACTCAGAGAAGGTATTGAAGGAGTGTATTGTACAGGTTTTGTCCTGGAGCATTCCTGAGACTTCTGTAATGTGCACAGCCTAACAGGGGGGAACTGCTTTATATTCTAGCTAAAATATTAACAGAACTGTAGGTAGTGACAGTTCAAATAGAAAACAATTCCTGTATTACTGTAATAAATATTCTGATGTTTCTTGTTATGTGCACATCTTTGATTTTTGAGAATTTACACCTGACCTTATTTCAGGAAATGTAATTTAGCTCAGTAGAAAGGCAAATATGCATGTTCATATTTTTAAAGGCGTAAATAAAGTCAAGGAGCCTTTTGCCATAGTCCCTGGAAATATTAATGTACTTCAGAAGAGTTCTATGCACTTCCTTATTATCACAGTGTCTTTATCAGTTCCTTCAAAACAACTTCCATCTGTAGGCTTTTATGATACCCAAGGGTGATGTTTTCTTGTGTGTAGACCTGTGGCTTGGCTGATACCTTGAAGTGAAATTTTTCTGTCTCTGGGCCTTGAAAAGAGAACTTTAATCTGTTTTTTCTTCTCTTTGTGAATCACACTAGAAGTTCTTGTAGGGTTTTGTCCTGGAGCATTCCTGAGACTTCTGTAATGTGCACAGCCTAACAGGGGGGAACTGCTTTATATTCTAGCTAAAATATTAACAGAACTGTAGGTAGTGACAGTTCAAATAGAAAACAATTCCTGTATTACTGTAATAAATATTCTGATGTTTCTTGTTATGTGCACATCTTTGATTTTTGAGAATTTACACCTGACCTTATTTCAGGAAATGTAATTTAGCTCAGTAGAAAGGCAAATATGCATGTTCATATTTTTAAAGGTGTAAATAAAGTCAAGGAGCCTTTTGCCATAGTCCCTGGAAATATTAATGTACTTCAGAAGAGTTCTATGCACTTCCTTATTATCACAGTGTCTTTATCAGTTCCTTCAAAACAACTTCCATCTGTAGGCTTTTATGATACCCAAGGGTGATGTTTTCTTGTGTGTAGACCTGTGGCTTGGCTGATACCTTGAAGTGAAATTTTTCTGTCTCTGGGCCTTGAAAAGAGAACTTTAATCTGTTTTTTCTTCTCTTTGTGAATCTCACTAGAAGTTCTTGTAGAGTTTTTTTTTGAGGGGAGGAAGGCCATTTAATTTCAGAGGCAATGGTCCGACAAGACCAGCAAGTGTTTCAATCACGTTAAGGTGATTGTTACCGATCACACCTTGGGTAATATCCCTCCTTCTCCTGGTTTGTTTTTTTTTTTCTCTCTTCAAGTGAGAAGTAAATTAAAGTGTCAGGATAGTCTGGAGGATACCTGTTCTGGAACTGGTCAGAATTGTTGAAGTCTTGCTTTGGAAGCTTTTGGGTTGCAATTCTACATTTTTTACAGAAATAAAGTTGCATAAAAATTTATGAAAAGACCCCTTTTATTTAGGACTGAAAGATGAATTTGCTAGTGGTGGCCCAATTGCTCTCTGAGGCAATATGAACCTGAAAAATATTAAACCTCTCTGTAGCAACAGTGATTATTTAATAAGATAAAAATCTGAGGACCTGCTGCTGTGAAGTAACTCTGTTACAGGCATAAAAATATTACTGCTGTTAATTTGTCTGCTTCCTATGTTAAGTAAATAGGCTGTCTTTTGTTATGGCCTTCTGTTGTTAAGGGGACTTTGTTAGACTGATGTGCTTGGATATTTAGGGATTTTTACTTATTTTTTAACTTTAAGGCTTATCTGGGCAAAAGAAATTGAGCAATGCAAATTTTCTTTTCATTTTAGGAATTTGATGAATCCTCACCAAAACGTCCGACAAATCCCTATGCCTCCTCTAAAGCAGCTGCAGAGTGTTTTGTTCAATCTTACTGGGAAAGGTACCAAGTAAGTCCATGGAATCTTCAAAAACTCTGAAGCCTGTAATTAAGTGTCTGTATTATGTATGTAAGAGTATAAAAGAAAAATCAGTACTAGTCCACACAGTGCCACCTCTTTCCTTATTGTTAGTTTTGTAGTCTGGATGTGTTAGAGAATCTCCACCAGTAAGTTGTGAAGATACACTGCGAGACAGTGGGGACTAATCAGATGTTTTTATTTTTTAAATCTGAACTGTAATATCGAAAAATGTTCTTTGATAAAATGGTGAAAGAGAACATTAGGAATTTAAAAACCAGGGCTAAGCTTGCAGGAAGTGCAAAAGTATTACACAGAAGTAGAACATGCATAATTCTAATTGTATCAAGACTAGGCTTATAGTTAAAGCAAAAAAAAAAAAAAAAAAAAAAAAAAAAAAAACTCACCAAAACGTCCGACAAATCCCTATGCCTCCTCTAAAGCAGCTGCAGAGTGTTTTGTTCAATCTTACTGGGAAAGGTACCAAGTAAGTCCATGGAATCTTCCAAAACTCTGAAGCCTGTAATTAAGTGTCTGTATTATGTATGTAAGAGTATAAAAGAAAAATCAGTACTAGTCCACACAGTGCCACCTCTTTCCTTATTGTTAGTTTTGTAGTCTGGATGTGTTAGAGAATCTCCACCAGTAAGTTGTGAAGATACACTGCGAGACAGTGGGGACTAATCAGATGTTTTTATTTTTTAAATCTGAACTGTAATATCGAAAAATGTTCTTTGATAAAATGGTGAAAGAGAACATTAGGAATTTAAAAACCAGGGCTAAGCTTGCAGGAAGTGCAAAAGTATTACACAGAAGTAGAACATGCATAATTCTAATTGTATCAAGACTAAGCTTATAGTTAAAGCAAAAATAAAAAAAAAAAAAAATAAAAAAAAAAGGAAAAAGACCTGCTAGTTAGATTTGTTTAAGCAAACATGTTTAGTAATTTGGGTACTTTAGACTTCTGTTCTTGATATATGATGCTTTTGCTATAAAGTGGACAAGAGCAGGATGTTAAAGACCTGTGAAACGTATTGGAATAAGTAGGAGTAAGCCAGTCTTCAGTCAACCAGATACACACATGCAATATCCTGTGGTGATTCCAGGATAAGAGAGGTTTCAAACATTTGTCTCTTGTGGTGCTCCTAACAGGCTGAGAAGGCTGGAGGCTCTTGCTTGTGCAACAGAAATACAGAGAGCTTAATTCAGTAATGTTTGTAAGGGCTTACAGATTTTTGAGTAATCACTGTGCATGTGTTGGTTTGCTTACTGATCAGCAGGAGGTTACAGTTTTTTACTGGTATATGCTTTCTTATGTAATCACATGTGTGTTTAATGCTCTCCAGTTCCCAGTTGTCATCACACGGAGCAGTAATGTTTATGGACCACATCAGTATCCAGAAAAAGTAAGTTAAACTGTGCTTTACTCTGAGCTTCAGTGTACCAGAATTCAGGGTTGCAGTGATGTTACTTTTTTCTCATGTGCATGGGATGAAAAAGTGTGTGAAAGAGTGCTTTAAAAAAAGCACTCTTGCAATTAATGTGATTATATATTTTGAGCTTACACTAATGTGTCTTACCCTGAACACATATTTTTTGTTTGTTGATAAAACTTCAATTTTGAAGTTTAAACTTGTAGTTTAAATAAATTTTATGACAGCAACTTTGTTTTGTAGTTTTTCTATTTTTCAAAGGGTATTTTGACAGAGTTCCCCTACAAATTACATTAACTCACATCATGTTTCGTAATCATGAGTGTTTAATAACTAAGGGAAACATTTCAAAAACTAAACTGAGAATACAATGTCTGGTATAGAAAGGGATGTTCCAACCTGCACAGAAAATAAGTAAGATGAAGCTATAACATTCATATATAAGGTGAGAAGCAGTGTAAAGTGACTTGTTTTTGCATTTATTCATACAAACCTTGCAGGGTAACTATTTAAAACAGTTGTTTGTGAGAAGGAGTTGCCTTTTTAAGTCAATACCTGAATCAATTAAGTCAATACCTGATTAGTGAATGGAAATATACTGTTGAAATGAAAGCAATCATCCCATGTACTCTCTGGAGTTTGGAACTGCTGGAAAGTGTAGCTATATTTTACATTTCTATGGAGTTGTTTTTTTAATTTAAATTGTTTTTCACCTTTTGTGGGTTTTTTTTCCCAAATAAATTTATTTCACTTGCATTATTGCAGGTGGATAAGCAATGGCTTTTAGAGTAAATTTTTCATTGATCTGTGTCTTGCTACAGGTTGCTTGATTGTTGGGGGTATATTAGGGGATGTATTTGCTAGCTTTTGACTTACATATATTCTTCTTCACATACCAAATTTTAGTTACTGCTAATGACACAGCACTAGGCTATGTGAACCTTCAGTTTTATCTAGTATTCTGCTTCTGTCTTTAGAGCAGGAAGTTAAGTTTAAGTAATTTGAACAGTTTTATAATGGCTTCAGTTTAAGGACTTTAATAGTGGGGGTAACTGTTCTGAAGTATCTGGGGCATTATGAATGGATCTAAGCATTTAGATTAACATAATGTAAATCTATGTGCAGCAAGCACACTGTCACTTGATCTGTGTTTATCCGCATTATCTTAAAATTCTCTGTTGATTGTCTTCCAAATTTAACTACTTTAACAACTCTTTGTTTCTAGAATTACTGCAGTTTGCTGGATGTTAAACCTTGTTCTGAACTGTTGGTAATATTTTTTCTAGTTAGATTGTGATGCACTGCCATGTGCAAAAGTAGTGGATTTTTTTTTTATTGTTCAAAAACTGTTATTACATTTGTAACAGCCAGAAAGATAAGGCTTACACTACAGTAGAGGTGTGTACTCTTACAAACCAAAATCCTTGCATTTTTCTAGGCTTGATACATTATTTCATTATATTTAATAAAACTTAGAAGTTTTTAAAGGATCTTATTAAAATACTTAATGTTTCATAACTGTTGAAGTTCCTTATTCTTTGTAGAATAACAGCTTTTAAAATAGTGGAGTAATTTTTTTTGTTGTTTTTCAATTCCTTAGGTTATTCCAAAGTTTATATCTTTGTTGCAACAGAACAGAAAATGGTAGGTAACTCACAATTTTGGTAGTATTTGTGCTATAAATCTGTAACTGCAGTTATAAATATGTGCTAGTTTGTAAAATGATAATTACATAACAAAGTTGTTCTTTTAATAGCAGGATTTCCTTAAAGTCAAGGATTGTTTGCATGTCAGCAACTTAAGGTACCTTCAGGCATCCATCTAACAGCAAAACTGCTAAAAATACAGCCCAGTAAATTGTGTCTATTGTGTCTATTGAATGTGTAAATCTTTTTTTGTCTCTTTTTTTGTTTTAAGCTGTATTCATGGTTCTGGACTTCAGAGAAGGAATTTCCTTTATGCAACTGATGTGGTAGAAGCATTCCTTACTGTCCTGAAGGAGGGGAAACCAGGTGAAATTTATAACATTGGAACTAACTTTGAGATGTCCATTGCCCAGCTTGCTAAGGAGCTAATCCATTTAGTGAGTAAAGAGTTCTGATGCTTTTCTTCACTGGTTTTCATTGCACATACAAATAATTACACAGACCTTGTGTAGCTCTGAAAGAGCTTAGATTTGTGGTGGGTGTTGGAAGATCCTTGCAGCAGAATGATGTGCTACCCTTTCTGTGACAGCTGGACTGTGTAAGGTTGCAGTATGGGCTATCCTGTGCTGGGCTGCTGCATCAGTTATCCTGACTGGGACATATCCTGACTGCCATCATGATTAATTACCATTTATTTTCCATGCTGGCTGCTTTAGTTTTGGTCTGAGAATGTGACACTATTAAAATCTAACAGTTTGATCATGGATGTTCTGGCAGTGCTCTGGGTGAAGGAGATAGGTTGGAGATGTTCTAGATAATTTTGATAACTTCAGTAGTTTGAAGACTCAGTATACAAAATACCATTTCTGTTTGTGGTTTATATTTTTTTTATTTGGTGGGGGTTTTTAATAAGATTTAAGTTTGTTAAGGGAAAAAATGGTTTTTAAATATATGTTTAGATAGCCCAAGATGTATGGGAGTGATACTTGTTTTTCTGCTTGACAGATAAAGAAGACCAGTTCAGAGTCTGAAATGGAGCACTGGATGGATTATGTCAAAGACAGGTGAGGAATGTGGAGGACATGCAGTATGTGCTGCCCATGCAGGATAGTTCAGGATAGTTTTGTCCTGCAGTTTTTCTGAGACTCTTAACCAAATAGTTTTTTGTGGAAGTGTTCCTGCACTAAAGGAGGGAACACTTTTGAGGGAGTAAGAGCTGTTTTGCTTCCTTAATTTTTTTTTTTTTTTCGCTAGTGGATTTGACATCTATGATCAGGGTTCTGTATAGAAAACAGGACTTCCATTTATTATTTGGATCTGTAGGTCAGAATGAATGTCTTGAAGGGGAGCATGTAATGCTAATCTCTGTCTTCAAACATTCTTCATACTTGTCATTACTGAAGTCTGCTCTGGGAAGAGGAAAAGTTTTGCAGAGCAACTAAATCTTTCCTTCACGGTAGCTTGGACAGTTTATTCAGTGTATTTTTTATTCAGCATCACTGAGTGAGATGAATCCCATTGTCTCTTGCCTAGCTTTAGTATTTTGGCATTAATGTGACTAATTCAGACTTAGATGTACTTTGTAGTAAGACCCAGTCTCCGCAGGCAGAAATATGTGCCTGTGGAGTGTAGTTAACTTTAGATTTCTATCTTAAGCTGAAGCTGCTATCTCAAAAGTAGATGTAAAGCTCTAAGGTACTAAAGTTAGGGCAGTGGAAAAATGGGTAGCTTTTATAGATACGCTTTTGCTGTGTGTTTCCGTCCTTAATTTCAGGCTTGGTTTGGCTCTGCTCTTTTATATCCATTTCTTTTCTGCAGCAACAATGAATCTCTGCTTACTTTAGATATCACTCTCTCCAGAGTGATTAGAAATGATGTGTCTACTGATAGCAGTTAAGTATTATGGCCTTTAGAATTCACACTTTCTGATCACATTTAGATTGTTATCATGGCAACTGAAGTGTCTTTAAAAATGTGCTAACTTTTGTTTTTAAAAGGAAATGTTCTTCAGAATCCTATCTCAATGTATTACAGGGCTTTGAAGGAATTGCCTTTGGCTCACATGATGTGAGTGTTTAGAAGTTCTCAGTGTAATTCAGTTTGATGTTTCTTTGTGTGTATTGGGCCCTGTCTGCTAATGTTTAAACATAAATGGGCTTGGGAAAACTAACCACATTGGAATACATGTGGAGGTCGTATAAAAGATTGTTAATATACCTAATTTTATGACTATATAATTCTATAATGAGTGACTTAAAGGTCGTGGGGGTTACTTGCTATGGAAGAATTAGTTCTGCTTCTGCTTCACATTAGCATGTTACAGTACCAGTGATAAGTGCTCGGTTTGTGCCTGCACATGTACCTTGACTGTTCAATATGCCAGTGCCAGTAGTGCAGGATGCTAGACTGGGCTACCTATCTGCCAGACTGTGGGAGTGAAAATTTCTGCCATGCTTAAATATCAGATATATCTTTCTGTGGTGAATCTTGCAGCTTGGGATTCTACATATTCAGTATTACAAAGTTCATGTAGCTAATGAGCCACTGTAATGATGCCCTTTTGGAAGCCTGTGTGTTTTAAATCTGAAGTATGTGTAAATGTTTGGGTTTTCAGGATAAAAAATGTAAATGCTAATATTATAAAATGCTGTCTCTGTGTTGCAAATGCACTGATTTGCACAAATGCGTTGGCAGTGATTTTTGTGTTCGTTTTGTGCCAGTAAAATACTAATTAATATTTATTCTAGTCAGTTTCGAGTAGTTGACTGTACAAACTGAATTGTGTTGTTGTAGCTGCACTCAGCTGCCACGTATTTTTTGAAGGCAATGCAACCTCTTTATGTTGATGGGAATTTTCAAAATTGAAGCATATCTAATATTCCTTGGAAGACAGTGTGAGGTACTGCATGGCTAATTAAAGAAGCAGTATAATCAGATTGTTTTCCGTGTGCATTTTATCCTCCATCAGGCCTACAAATGACCTCAGATATCCAATGAGTTCAGAAAAAATGCACAACTTAGGCTGGAGACCCAAAGTGCCTTGGGAAGAAGGAATAACGAAAACAAGTAAGACTGATGACTTTTACACTGATTTAGGAGTGATGGGAGGAGGGAGAGGGAAAAGGGTGAAATGGGTACGTAGCTTAGTTAATGAGGAGCTGAAGAGATTGAATGTAACGTTTGAATTTTACATAAAATTGGCTGCTTTCCAAAATAGTGAATTTACATGACATAAAATAAAAAAAGATAATCACTTTTTAGTGCTAGAATAAGTCTTGCATAAAGAACTTACAAAGTTTGAACTAGATTTTTTGTAATATTATGGGCTAAAATCTTCCATAATGAACAATTAGCATGTTGTTAGTTGTGTATCTGTGGAATATTTGGATTTCCCTGTTCTCTCTGGTCAGCTTGACTCTTCAACATTCTTCCCATATTAGTTGAATGGTACAGAGAAAATTTCCACAACTGGAAAAACTCGGAGAAAGCTTTGGAGCCCTTTCCTGTGACAGACCCATTTGCCCAGCTCAGCAGCCCATAGTGTGGCACAGAACCTGAAGGAGTTTTTTCTACCTCATATGGTCTTTTCTTCAAAGCCTGCAATCAGATGGCCACGCTGGACTCTTAATGTATTCAAGATACACGAACCATGTTGAGTAAAGAACCATAGTATGGCACAACTTTGGGGTGGTTTCAGCACTTTATAAGTTGAACCTCTTAGTTTCAGCTTTCGGTGCAATACTCTAGTCTTACTAGGTATTGATTTAAAAAAAAACTGTATGGAGTGAAGAATATTTATAATGATATAAATTAGTGTACTGAAATAAAATCTGCCTTATTAAGATTATTTAACTGTGATTGCAGCTTTTGAGACTTGGAGTTAAATTTGGTTTTGTTCTGGAATTATTCATCTGTATTAGTTTGTTTCTACAGTGTAATTTATATTTTGTCACTTCAACAAGCTGGGTTTTATTTTTAATCAAGGGGAGAAATTACATGTTTTTTGGAGACTATAAATTGATTGACAAAAGCTGGACAGAGCACCTCTATGGTTCCATCCATTTCTCTGCTGGTGCACTTTTAGCTTTTGTAGTTGACTAATCAAAGTTACCTACTCTATAACTTTAAATGCCCCTTTTAAGGGGAACAAGGGGGGGAATGGTTCTCGATGAGATTTCCAGAAGCATTTCCTTAAACTTTGTACTCCTTTTACTGTATAACTGTCTATTACATGTTAACTCCTTTTTCTTAGCTGTAATTGTAACAAACTTGAAATACTGGAACACAGTTAACATTCCAATGATCTTATTTTCCTGTGATATGAAGGCTACTTATGGAGAAAATTTTTTAGAACTCTTCTTTTTCTGTGAATTGTGGGTTGGCAGACCTTAATTAATGCAGTGTATCACCATTTTTTCTGTAATAAACATTTTAAAGATAAAACAGTATTTGAGTTTTAATATAAAATTTGGAAAAAAACTCTGTCATTCTAGAAATATGTCAATGAATCTTGTTCAAAGTTGTTTTCATAATATTATGGTGTAACTGGTTTCTCTTAATTAAGAAGAACATGCTGAAAAAGTAGATGGTGGGTTTTTTTTAAAAAATATTTTTTTATGTTCCTCTACCCTGAAAGAATTACCTTCACTTCTTTGTCTTTGAAGTGATCTGGCAAACATAAGAAGAACCACTGTTCTTGGTTTTATCACTTCAGCTTCTGTAGTTGGCCCAGTCCCTGAACCTCTGTGGGCCTGGGCAGAGCTGCAAGCAGCACAGGACTGGGATGCTGTGGTGTACTCAGAGGAAGCTGTGACTCCTAAAGGGTCTCAGAAACTGGGAGATAGCTCTTGAAACACAAGTGTTTCCAACTTCATCACACCTTGTGGTGCATGGTGCTGTTGGTAAAGTGCCACTTGTGGTTGGCAAGAGTAGGTTAGCCTAAAAGAAGGCTAACCAGGAAGTTTCTGGGCTTACTGCAGTGCCAAGTATGGCTTTTAAAATCTAGGAGCCTGTTACTGAAGGTGGGTTTTCTGTGACACAGTGGGATAATAATACTAGAATTGTGTGGCAGTTCCTGATGCTTGCTTTGGATGTAAAAGTCTCCATTTGGGACAGATAGAAGTTACAGGATTTTGTATGTAATGATCTGTTGCATACTTGGCTTACCAGATGTGTTTCTATGGATGAATCACTGAAATGTCGTTGTCAAACGCGCTTTGCTGACTATATTAAAATATTTCCTTAATTTTTGTACTTTTCCTGATATATTACTTCCTTACAGTGTGCATACTTCCTTACAATATCTGTCTTGCTGTTCTGTATTTTGTAAAAGTCAGTACCAGAAATAGCTAAAGTGCTGGAAAGATCTGTCTTAGCTGTATTTGTGATTGCTGTGACAGCTGCTTTGAGTGGGTTGCACGAAAATATGTGTCTTTCACCTATCCTTATACTGGAATACTGGCTGTGTTGTTTTTAAGAGTAGAGATTACAGATAACTAAAATCTTACCACTTTAAACTTGCATAAACCTTAATTTATAAATATTTTAAGCCTTTGAAAATAGGTACAGTGTCTTTGGAACACTACAAACAGTCTGATCAGAAATACACAGAAGAAAGCAGTAGGGCGTGATTTGTTTATTGAACAGAACTTTTGAAAGTTGTTCTTAATGTATAGGTGCTGAAGATGCAGGCATTGATATTTATATGACTCTCCAAAGAAGTAATATTACCTGGGGTGGATTTTCAATAGGATCTATTAATTTTTTAGTGAGAGCTGTTCTAGTTTATTTAAATTTTTTTGAAGATTTAATTCATCCAAGTGTTTGAGATTTTTGTGTTACTACTTATATGTAAATAAATGCACATTTTAAAATATTGAAAGGTATATATTTAAGAAATGTAGGAGGCTTTTGCTTTGAGCCACTTTGCTGTAGGTCAGATTTTCTTAGCAGGTGAGTGATCTGGTAGGAGCGTTTCTTTCACAGGGAAAAGTATTTTCTATTATAGAAAACAGCTTATTTTGCCATTAGCCTTCTGGCTTCTATAGGAACAAAGACAAAGGATCAACCAGTAAACTGTCAGTGTGAAGTGTGATGCTTTCAGTTTTTTTTCCTCACTGATTTTACTGGGAAGCATTTCTGGAGAAGACAGAGGTAGTGATGTAAAATACTGTAAACACTGTAACCTTTCAGTCTACTCTTTCAAGGTTTGTGTCAGAGAGCAAAGTGAGGCCACACCAGTAAGAAAATAAATGGAGTAAATGTGTATGTCACTTAACTGCTAAAGCTCTCTAAGGTAGAAGGGCTGGACTTTGGCAAAGGTTTTGATTCAGGTTCTATCAGGAACTTGGGTGGTTTGCTTCTCTTTTTGGGATTACTGTTCTGAATTGGATCAGATCTTTGGGAAGCAGCTCCTGAAATCCCTGGTGCATTGGGGAAAACCAGCATTGCTACCTCACTGTCTTGGTGTACCACCGCTGCTATTCAGTGCATCCCTTGCCAGCAGCAAGTGAAAGGATTTGGAAGACACCGGAGTGGACAGCTGAGGCAGGGCTGTCTGCACTCACAGAATCGGTGGTTCAGCTGGGAAAGGACCTTCAAGGTCCCCTAGTTCAAGCCCCCTGCCATGTGCAGGGACACAGAGCCCCATCCAACCTGGCCCTGAGCAATGCCAGGGATGGGGCAGCCACAGCTTACCCTGCCATGCCTGTGGGGCGTTTGTGGGCTGTGTGTATCTGCTCCACTTTATGCAACAAAGAGAGCTCTTGCTTTCTCCAGGGCTTTCTCTGGTCTGATCTCAGCACTTGCTCAAATTTGTGTGCTGCTTGCATTAAGGGGTGTCAACTGCGGTTTAGGTTGGTTTACACTGTTATAAGATGATGGACTAGAAAGTACCTTTGGTTTGTCCACCCTGTACTTACTTGATGTAGGAGAAAGGCTGTGGATGAAAAATGTGGAGGTTTTTTGTTGGTTTGTGGTTTTTTTGACTCAGAATGCTCAATTTTTCTGAAACTCTGTTCTTATGCTCATTAGACAGGCATGAAATGCAAATATCTTTCTACAGAAGGAAGAACTTTTAATATAAACCTACTCGCCAAATCTGTTAGGGGAAAAGCTGACTTTTTTATTAGTCTGAGACTGTATTGTCCTTCTATTTAATTTTGTTTTGCATTACCTTTAGTTTTTGTTTTTATTCCCATTGTAATTTCCATTTCACCTGGCAAAACAGAGGTTTCTAAAAATAAGAATTGGAATAACCCATTGCTCCATCGTACTTCTGATTGTTGTGGTAATGTATGAAAACTCTTAAGTCAATAGTGTTTTGACTTCTGTGCATGCCGTGACACATTTGGAGTTTATCTGCACCAAAGATCATGGATTGTGTTATCTGCATCAGTAGGAGACATTCTTGTTAAGGGATTATATTCATAATTTCTCAGCAAAACAATCATTGCCAGTGGCAATGGAAAATCATGAGAAGATGAGATTTTGTATCAGTATGTTGTTCACACACCTCTTAAGCACAAGTGTGGGTGGATTTTTTTAATCTCTCCCTACCTGAATTTTTTTTTTGTGAAGAATTTTTGGTTTCAGTCACTAAACTGCTGGCTCAGTCCTCAGCCTTTGTACATCTGAAAACAAGTATTTGATTCCTGAAAACGTATCAGCTCCTGGAAGAACCCACAAATGTGGGATGTGATGAAAAATACACTCTGAAAATACAAGGAAACGGTGATTTATGTTACCAAATATTCACATGGCTGGCTTGGGCTGAGGCTGCTTCTTCCCCACTTGAAAAAGGAGGAGTTTGTTGAATTCCTCTAGTAGTATGGAAGAGAGTCTTGGTGTTTTTGCTAACAGGAGGGAGCAGCAGTGCACAATTTTGCAAAGCAGCCTCTCTCCCCTCACAGTGTGCAGAAAGTGTGAGTAGGAGATGCCCTCATAGGTGGCTTTTCTAGGCCATGGGCTGTGCAAATCCACACAAACTCGAGATGTCAGTGCCCACCACAGGCACTAACATGGACACTCTGATGCATCCTCTGCCTTTTCCCTGTAGCCACAGGTGTGTGCTACCAGTTGCCTGTTGAAATCAATGCCTAATCAACAACGTGAAGGTAAACTATTTTTTCTTATTACACTGCTTAGTCAGGATTTGTGATTTATGTGGACACAGAGCTTCTCCAGTGGAAGACCATGGGCACAAGAAGGCACGGGTGCCGCACCTTCCTGTTCATGTAATTTTGTGACACCATCATCTCTGTGCACATTTTGTCAGGCTTTAAAATAAAATCCCTGAAAACTGAAGGTAAAATGCTGCCAATTTAATGCTCCCGAGTCCCACATAATGTTCTAGATCCTGTTACCTCCCCCAATAATCCAGGGAGCCACTGTCAAAACACCTTCATTCTGACATGTGTCTTGTGCATAGATGTTTGTATATGCACAATTTTGTGTTATTGCTGATTTGTCTTTGGTTTACGGCATAATTTTGTTTGCGGGGACCCGTCATTGACTCGTTTGTGGCATCCTGCGCTGCAGGGCTAATAACAACTATTTTATTTAGACCATCGAGTAAGAGCTACCGGGCAGTGAGTGTGGAAGAACGGATTAGTACAATCTTACCACACAAAACGCAGCACGGCAGCCGAAATAGCTCAGTTGGGAGAGCGTTAGACTGAAGATCTAAAGGTCCCTGGTTCGATCCCGGGTTTCGGCAGAACTGTTTTCCTATTTTCCCTCGCCCTCCCGGGAGGTGGCGAGCGGACGCTGCTGCGGGCCGGCCCGCGGGCTCCGAGAGCCCTGGGGCCTCTGCAGCGCCCGGGAATTGCCCTGCCGGGCTCAGACCGACAGCGTCGCTGCTGGCACAGCGTGCCCTGCCCTCCCGTTTCACTTTTCAGCTCCTCCAAGTCTAAGCTATTTATTTAGGGTGGAAGAAATGAAAGCAGCGAGCTTCATTTCCTCTGGCTGTCTGCCCTGCGCTCTCTCACGGCGGCAGAGACGGGAGAAGGGAAAGTGAAACTGCGTGAGGAGCGGGAGGAGCGGGATGACCGGGAGCCAAGGGACAGAGGGGGAAGAGTGGCTCGAGGGGACTGGGACAGAACGATTAGAGGTTGCTTCTTGCCAAAATCTGAAGAGCAATTCAAAACTTCCTGGACCTCACTGTTCCTCTGCTGTTAATAGATGGCTGAAACTATTTTACTTCACAAAAAGCCAAAGGAAAAGCCAGGAAAGCCGGTGATTAATTAATTAATTAGTCTTCACCGTTCATCTGTTTCTTCCTGTTCCTTTATTTACTTGTAAATTGAGAAAAATAGCTTGGATTTTCTGGAGCCTATTTTTAAGGAGGGTGTCTGGTTTTGATTTGAAGACATGAAGAGGTGGACAGTTCATTGGTAGTCTTTGGTAATTTGTTGCAATTTTTTCAAATACATACCTTTAATCTGGACCTGCCCTTTGTTAAACCTTTTCTCTGCTAGATCAGAGATCTTTCTGGGTACCTGGCATTTTGGTCATCACAAAACTGTCAAGTCGGCACCCACCTTTGTTTTGGTAAGCTAAAGAAATTAAATTCTTTGTGTCTTTAAGACATTTTCTCCTGCTTTCGGGTAATTATTTTTGGTGACCTTTTTAATACACTGACACCAGAACAATATACAGAAGGACTTTCAATATTGATGTCGCTAGTGCAAAACACAGCAGTAAAGCCATCTCCCTTCCTTCTCTGTTCAGCAGCTTTCATCTCTTCATGAGAAGGTGTCATTGGTCCTTTTCTAATCACAACATCACAACAAACATTGATATTGAATTACTTGTCCAGTACAAGGAACACTCACTACAGATGAATATCTTATTACTACTCAGCAAGGGCAGTGTTACTTAGATCCTTACTGATAAGATATATAAGGGGTAGTATAACTGCTTATATTACTATTTTTCCTAAAGGTTTTTTAAAGTTTTGAAATAATATTAAGACACTTGAGTACTCAGGGACGGAAGGAAATGTTAAGTAGCTTTATTTATTTATTTATTTTTTTTTCCAAAAGTGCTCAATTATTCATCAAAGACTTTTATACTGCTTTGGGGAAGAGTTAGGGAGGTATTAATTTCCTGCAGATATGTGATCAAAGAAACAAAAACAGAGAAGGGCTGTTTACTTTTTGGCCTTTTCACACTGCTGAATAAAGGAGAGTCATGGTGCAAGCTTGGGTGTCAGA